AACAGTAAATTGAACCCTATGGGAATTATAACTCTAGATATTATATTTCCTCATGCTAAAAATAACATACAAATCACGGTAGAATTAATTGTAATGGAAGACTTTAGGATGAAATACATCATTTTAGGAAATGATTACATAATTAATTACGGGATAGATGTTATAAATAGCAATGGCAGATATTTTACTATCAATGGAGACTTATCTACTAAATTTGAACTTGGTATCACTGATAAAATGAATTTAGTACAACTAGAATGTAATGCTTTAGAAGATAATAATTTTGGAAATACTATTGAAGAAGCAAAAATTTCTAGTACTTTAACAGAAGAAGAAAAGTCACAGTTATATTCTTTACTACATAAAAAGAAATTAGCCTTTGCTACTACTGATGAACCCTTTGGACGTATAAAAGGACATGAAGTCAGAATTAATCTTAATACTTCTAGACCTTACCCTCCAGCATTAAGAAAATCTGCATACCCAACATCCCCAAGAAGCAGAGAAGCCTTACAACAACACGTAACTGACCTAGTAAAAATGAATGTACTTAGAAAAGTTGGTGCCAATGAAAATGTTGAAGTAACTACTCCTGTAATTATTGCGTGGCATAATGGTAAATCTAGAATGGTTGGAGATTTCAGAGCTCTCAACAATTACACAATTGCTGATAGATATCCAATGCCTAAAATAAGTGAAGCCATCACGCAACTACAAAATGCTAAATATATTACATGTATGGATGTACTTAAAGGATTTCATCAAAATGTTATTCATGAAGATAGTAGGCACTTAATGAGAATTATTCTACATATGGGTATTTATGAGTATTTGAGAATGCCCTTTGGAATTAAAAATGCACCCTCTCACTTCCAAAGAATGATGGATACTGAATTTCATAAACAATTACGTGAAGGATGGCTAGTAATTTACATTGATGACATTATTATTTTTAGCACTGAATGGAATGACCACCTTGACAAATTAAAAATTGTTCTAGAAAGAGTTATAAAAATGAATATGAAGATCTCTATGAACAAATGTCAATTTGGTTTTCAAGAACTTAAAGCATTAGGCCACATAGTTTCAGGATTGAGCATAGCTATAGATAAAAATAAAGTAGCTGCAGTAATGTTAAAACCTATGCCCACTAATGTTAAAGAAATACAGTCATTCCTTGGTTTTGCTAGTTATTATAGACAACACATTAAAGATTTTGCCAAAGTAACAGGTGTCTATATAAATTAAGTAGTCAAACACTGCTTTTGAGATGACAGTAGATAGAG